TCGCGGTCCGGTGTCTTATCGAACTCGCCTGTTAGGCCGCGCGTAATCGCAAAGTCGCGTCGCGCTGAATAGGAAACGTCGCGGAACCCGATACTGAACAGCTGAGTGACCGCCGTCGCTCAGCTCGCCGTTACGCGTGAAGAAAAGGTAGATGAAGCACCGTCTAACGCGAGAGTAACCAAAAGAAAGAAGAGAGCCTTGCCCGGTTTGGATAATCCTTTTATAATGTTTTCCCCCTTCCTATATTGAAGAACGTGGAAGATACGGGGTAGCAACAAGCTATTGTTCGTCAGGGAATTCTCGAGTCGTCGTGGCGGTGTTTCGATATTGCTGATCCGTCCGGTCCGTCGGTCAACGTCTCGAGGGTTCTCGACTACGCGCGTAGCTTTCACGTGTCGCTGATTTGACGATTTTCGCTCGCTCTTCGCGTTGCGAAGTAATGTAGTAAAAATGTGCAAGGAAAAGAGGTAATATTCCTAACCGGATATAACAGTTTTTCACCTCATTGAAATAATTTGGAGTGGTTTCCGCATATTTTGTATAAGATGGAGTGCTTCAACGCGTATAATTAAACAGATAGTGCACTTTTACGATTTCTAGATATTTCTGTTACGGTATGCGTTGCTGGTTGATTCCTCAAATGGTTAAAATTCAGTCTGCAGGTATGAAAGTTCCCCTGCGTCCTGTAGCGAAACGTCCGCTCCGGCCTCTGCTAAGGTGCTCGGACAGGGCCAAGCAGCGCCAACTCAACATGTGTCCGTGAATTTTGTTTTCTTAATCCTCGAGGAAAAAGTATTTTCTGCTTTTCATCACGAATCAATGGGTATCGTTTCAATAAATTAACGGAACCCGCGCGTCGATGAAACTGCACGACGGTTCGTTCGTTGTACTTCTGCAAAGCACGTGTTTTCCTAGAACGCTGGTTTCTCTGTACCTAAATCTTGTTGTCGCGGTGGGAGTGAACTCACAATGTAACGATGGGAAACTACTTGGGGTTAGAGAAAGCCCTTTGGGAAGATTCTGTCAATTGGTTAGCAATCGGGCGACAGAGATGTTCAGTTCATGGGAGTATTACGCATTGTTCTGGTGGTATGCACAGAATAACGGATATGCGGCTGCTGCTGTGTAAGCGTTTGGCTACGTAAAACATGTGATAAATTGAAAACAATCTGCCCGTTTCGAGGTCACCAATTTTCCTAACGTAGGAACAACACGTTCAATTAAAAATACATTAAGTGATTGCGTCGGGTGATCAGTGTTTGTGGTCGTACAGCGAAGTGAATACGTATTTGGTGGAATAACCCGGACGCACTTGACGTTACAACCCTTAACTTCGGCTGGTGAGGTATACCTGCAATCACCTACGGACTGGGCGATACCCTGCCATAAATCGTTTCGTCCGTCGATGACCAGGATCTGTGCAGTGACTTACTGACACAGGTCTGCAAGCTGCAGGTAAATTTTCGAAAGGGTGAGTTCTATTCAATTTATTGTTGATTATTATTTTTTTAATTTAACGCAAGCCACATATAACTTTTTCCCGGCAAGAATTCTGCAAGTTTCCATACCTACATTTGTTTTCGGGCTTCTTAAAGATTCTGTTTAAAAAAATTATTGTGTATTCGAATTTTTATGTTACACATGATTTTCTTATATTTATGTTTCATTCATTCATCACTTTAAATGACAAACGATAGATGATAAGAAGTTCGATTTGTTACGTTCTTCTTATTTGCTATTATACGCGGTTTCCTGGGATAAATACCGACTTGCTTTGTTCGGAGCTTCATAGTACAAGCGTAACGCGTAGCCACCGATAGCGCGGGAACTCGGCTGGCAAACTCGCGTTCTGATTGGTCGGGGTTTTTCGTTAATATCTCGTTAACAAAGCCTCGGATAACAGTTTCGTTAAGGAAAAAGTTGTTTAAAATCATCCCAGAAACCTCTCATTTCCGGGAAGAGAGACATTTTTGAGACACCCTGTATACGCCTAAGACGCATGTGGAAATGCAACTCGCGCACGTGCGTCAACGTGCGTATGCATATACAAGTGAGCAATGCTTAATACAATTAACTATTTCATACAGAATAATACGTTAAATGAATATAATAAAAAGGTTCTATGGTTACTACATATATGAAAAATGTTCAATTTGTATATTTCATTATAAATGTACCCAGCCGAACCTTCAAAGCCAAATTTTGTCCAATGCCTGTTATAAAGTTATGGCTACAAGTTCAACGCCAGATTTGCTATAAACAATTTGCGCGCATATTGGCAGCATCATAGGCAGCAAGTAGACAAAAACATATGTATCAAATTGGCTTGCGCAAAACTTGTTCCGGTTTTGCCCTCAATTCGACGTGGGTCATGTTGCAAGGCTTTCTGCCAATTTGTATTTGTTTTACCATTTTGTCAGCGGGCGTTGCTTGCAAAACCCAAGTTAAATGCGGAAACAGATGGCTATGGTTTTTTAGACATCTTTTGTCATTTATTGCTGACAATTTGCTCAAAACTTGTACGCAAATGGTTATCAGGGTAATTATGCATATAGTAAAAATAAAAGACAATTGTGAAATATAGAAATTGTAACAAAACATAAACACAAGAGCATGGGATCCATTACTACATATATTGTTTTATGTATTAATTTCTTTAATTTCTAAAATATTTGACAAATTTTATGTAAACTATGTATATAATTTAATAAACTATGTTCATTTAATTCAACATTATTTGTTCATAATTGAAATGAATGTTTTATATATGTACAATAGCCTCACATAACATTTTGTACCGTACAATTAAACATCATGCAGTTAAAAAACAGAATTCATCTTTTACTATAAGAAAACATTAACGTTTTATCACTATTTAAGTGTTAAAGTGAAAGTGAATCAAAATTTGTTATTAAATACAATCAACTCTATTTTTTTTAGGTAAATGCAGTTTTATTTGAAAAGTACAACATAAACTTACTTTTTACACTTGTCTCAAAAGAGGTTTGCGTACATATTATTTTCTATGTTTTATAATACCACTTTAAATAATAAATCTTGTATTAATTGTAAATTTACGTTTATAATCAATAATTTTGATGCTCTACTAACATGTTTTATGCTTAAACAACAAAATAATAACACTGAAAATGAAATAGTGTTGTTTTTCTATCAACTTATAGAATGTGCATCAAAATCATTTAAGCCTATTTTATAGTTACTAAATACGTTTCACTTTCATTCAAACGTATAAAACTTAATTGTTTCCATTTCTGACCAAATAACATGATGATAAGAATTATTTAACAAATTAAATGATTAATAATTAATATCATTATTAAATTAAGGAACACAAATCTTAATGAAAACTCTTGAACTGGGTGGTAGAAAAGGAACGTTGTGATTGGAAATTGGTAGCTGGTGTTTGCCAGGATCCTATATTTTTTCCACTTTGCCAAGTGTTTGGTGGGTTTTTCTTGTTATTATCATTTTGAGAAACCCAACGTGATTCTCCAACATTTTGATTGCCATTATTTTGCCACTGAGGTTTTGTACCAAGAGATAATCCTTTGTTATGCCAATTGTCTTTACTCTTTAACCATGTATCTCCCTGTTGTTCACTTTCTCTTACCCAGGTGGATGATGCACTAGTATTTTCAAATTTAAGCCACCCCTCTTTTAAGCCTAGATTATTACCATCATCACCCCAAGGATCTCTTGCATCCTCTGGTAAATCATTTAATTCTTCTTTGTCGCTGTGCTTCCAAGAACTCTTAACATTATATGCTTCCCATCTACCTTGTTTTTTATTGTCCAACCAAGAATCTTTGCGAACATTAAAACTTTCTTTTCCACGAATATTCCAATTGTCATTACTGGTTCCGGGTAAATTAGACATATTTGACCATCTGTTATCAGAATTTAAGGACCATGACTCTTTGACCATTGGTTTTGAACATATTTGCTTAGAATTCCAAGTATTTCCACCAGTATTCCACGTATCATCGTGAGTAGAATCCTTAGCATCCCATTTCTCTAAATTAAAATTTTTACGGCGTATATCATTAGACGAATTTTGGTCCCAACTGTTAGTAGATGTTGACGGTTTGAAACTTTGCCAGATATTCTGAAACTGTAATTTTTCGGTAGGTCGGATCCAAGTACTTTGTTCAATCGCTCCTCTGCTAGGTATGTCCCAATCATCAGCAAATCGTTGCTGTGGTGACATTTGCCGTCTTTGTGGAGATTGTTGTCTTCTTGGAGGTGAAGCAGGACGTCCAAATGGAAACCTATGTGGTGAATCCGCGCGCCTCATTGGCGGTATTTGTTGCTTTTCTTGTGGTATATTTTGTCGTCTGGGAAGCAGTACTTGTCTCCTTGACGGAGACGTATCTGCTTTTAATGGTGACATTTGTCGTCGTAAAGGCGACATTTGACGTCTTAATGGTGACATTGGACGATTTATAATCACTTCAAGTCGTCGTGGTGACGACATACGTTTCGGTGACAAGGGTCGCCTTTGTGGTGATAATCGTCTAGGTGGAGACACAGGTCGCCTTAACGGAGGAGAGACTGGACGTCTCAAAGGAGAACGTTGTCTATACAATGGTGATGATGGACGACGAATAGGGGAAAAGTGCCTTCTAGGTGGAGAACATGGACGTCTTGGTGGAGATAACAAAGGACGTTTAGGTGAAAATCTGTTTGGAGAGGTTAGACGATGTTTCATTGGAGACATCTGCCTTCTCACAGGTGAATTTGGTTTTCTCATATTTCCTATTTCATTCCAACGATTTCTTTCAAATTGTTTGTCTCGATTCCAGGAATTTTCCTGAATTTGTTGTTGACGTATGTTTGTTTCATATCGCTCCGGTGATGTACGGAATGGGTTACTTATTCTATATTCATTTGATGGTCCTACTGGCATTATCGTATTCGGTTCCAAGGGTGGTATATTTTGGTATTTTTTGTAAAAGGGTTTTGTTTTAGACACCTCATTATCAGAAAACTGATTTTTCGTTGTAATTAGAATATCTTGGGTACCCATTTCTTGTACATATCGACCTTCCAAGAGAGGATCCTCTGGTTTGTCTTCCTTTTGACCTGACGTATTCTCTAATGGTGCTATACGATCCCAAACAGAACGTGGAAGTTGACTCTGAAGTTTATTTGTTTGCTCCAAAACCATATTCAACATATTTTGTAACTGTTTGGCGGTATTTACATCTACAGTTGGTGCAGGTCCACTTAATTTCTCCTTTGCTATTTCTAAAAGTGCTTGATGCTCTTTTACTGTTTGAGCTATATCTGTATCAAGTCGATTATTAGATAATCTTTCTCTTAAATCGGCTTGTTCTTTGTGATCTCGTAATTTTTTCTCATACAACGGATTAAGACGCATCTGCGAGCTTTCTGTGTTCCATTCCCTCTTCTTTTTCGTTGGTAAATCTAAAGTATAAACGAAGTTTTATTAGTTTTTTTCTATAAAATGTGTAATTGACCAATTTTTTTGAAAAAATTTGTTATAAAAATGTATGAACTTACCTGTCTGCCACGGTTTAGCACTAAATTTACCAAATCTTTTTATTAATTTCTTTGGTGTTGCTTCACCTCTATCCGGAGAATGAGAACGTTTTACCTTGAATTTATTTTTAACAGTTGTGTTTTCGATATTTCTTACGTGAATCGGTTTCTTCACTGGCACTTTTGATTTCTTCATCGGATATTTTGTCGATGGTTTATTTAAATCCTTTTTTGTTCGTAATTCAATTTCTTTCGGCGATATCTTTTTAGTTGCTTCATTCGTACTTTGTTCGTTTGTCTTCTCTTTAATTTTTTTGGCTTCCAGTGTTTTAGCGTTTTCTTCTAAATTCTTTTTAAACCATATTGGATTTAATTTATACATCATACGTCGTTTTAGTAAGATAACAGCTTCGAAATGAGGGCCAATAGGTAAAGTATCAACAACACATGCTAAAATAGGAACGAATGGCGATCCATGACCATTACCTTTTACAGGCCGAGCTAATTCTAATATAGCACGAACTGACTGTTTAGTCAATGTAGTTATCATTACAATTCGTTTAAGAGATGGGATTTTTCTGAGACAAGTCATTATCTCAATTGCTGTAAGATATATAAACATGTATATTTTGTATTAAATATATAAAAGTTATATAAATATTATTTCCATACAATACTTAGTTTTTGTTTAAACAAGTTTGATAGAAATTAGATAGCATAAATATTAATTATAAATTCTTTGTTCTTTTCTTATACATTAAATTGATTAGTGACATATTAATATAATTATTATGTTTTTTTATATTTTTATTAGAATTTACAAAACACTGCTGAGAAGTTAAAAAGGAAATAAAACAAGATACACTTTATTTAATTCTGTGTTGAGCTTTTTCATTTCCTTCGATACATATACATATAATAAATTATGAAAATAACAAACCTCGACCAATATTAGTATTTGCATTAAGTATTGCACATGTTCTGCGCTTTCTCACTGCAGGTATAATTTTCTTTACAACTTCAGTTGGAGATCCCATAATAAATGACGCATTTTTTATATTATTTAATTCACACGTCATTTCAGCTTCTTCTACTTCTGATGGTAAATCGACTCCTATGACTTGTTGACATCTCTATCGTAATTTAAAATTAAGATTAGTAATTTTTAAAATCAAAGTCACAACATAATGATTTTCAATAAAAGTACCAGTAGCTATTTTCCTTACCGATGCCATCATTAATCCAATGAGGCCAATACCACAACCTATTTCAAGTACCGTTGTGTGTGGACCAAGTGCAAGTAAGTTCATTACTGTATTTGCTACATTTTCTGCTCCTGCAGTATTTGACCAAAAGTTTGTTTTAGGTGCAAGTTGAACTTTTATTCCACCCACAATTTCATCCAAAGCTTCTGACCCTACCAAAAATGTTGTATCTGTCACAGTAGTATCATCACATCTAGAATTAAAGAATAATATAGTCATATACTATTACATCATAAGAAAGTCATATTGAAAGTTTTTATAACTCTTCTTACTTATTTGTAGACTTGCAATAAAGTGATTTCACATTACAATCTTTTCCTGGTCCAGACTCATAAACTTGTTTCAAACAGTCCATTGTGGCACGAGTAATATTTTTTCCAGTGGCAAATAGCATGAGTTCGTCCATGCTATTACACCGTACTACTAGCCATAACCAGTCTTGTTTACATTCATTGTTCGTTTCTTTTTTAACTTCTCCATCCATAGGTATGTCATCAGAGAAATTTTCAGTTGTGTCATTCTGGTCAATTGGTTGTTCTGTTGTTTGAAGAAATTCCTCAAATATCTGCATAATATAAACATAATTTGATTATTATTATTATTGTAAGGATTATTTATAATTTATACATTCAGTAGTAGAGATGGGTAGTATCTAGATGAAAAAATTATTTAAATAACTGTTAGAATAAAAGATACTTTATCTTTATTCCTTATTCGAAGCTGGAATAAAAAAAGTATCTTGATTCGACGTGCGTCGAATGAATAAATTTATTTGATAAGAATTATCAGACGAATAAAAGATACATTTTTTATTCGAAGCGTTTTATTCATAGCGTCGAATAAAATTTTCATCTTATGTTTATATCTTTTAGGCCGGGGCCACACGAGAGTTTTTGTCGGACGACACAAGACGGACGACCGTCGTTTTGTAGACGGCCAACGATCGTCCAACTATCGGACGACGAAGCAATCGAGAAACATGAGTCGGTCGATCGTAAACGATCACACTTCTCAATTAATCTCTTTTACACTTTATTAATTAATGACTCTACATTTATCATACACATTTTAAAATAAATTTTGCACGTTAAATTGTACCTACAATACGTGTTATCTCGTGTACTGCTTTTCAAAGCCTATATAGATTTTCAGACACGTATGTCGTGAACACAAGCATTGACATCGTCTTTTGTTTTATTTCGCGCCTCAGTTTCAGTTTCTGTTGGGCATTAATTCATTTAACTTTTTATTTCAGTCGTTTAATTAATGCTCACGATTAAAAAATTAACAAAATGAGTCGTTAATTCTTGATTATACATAAATATTAATCGTTAATCATCAATCTCTGGTTACATCAATTGGTAATCAATTACATATTAGTTTTTAATCGAAAAATTGAAATTCTATTTTATCTATACTTCCTGTAAATTACATTTAAAATAAATAATTTAATCTAAGGTAAGTCCACGAAATAATAATATTAAGTAACTTATGTTCTTCCTCTACTTATATACAAATACATTACCTTCTCTCTAACTTGAACAAAAATATCGGTTGCAAGTTTTTATACACGTTTCCTTAACGAAAAGTGTTCATTATCGTGTGATATGATTCGATGTAACGCTGGACCTTTATTTCTTAAAATAAATTTAAAAGTACCTCAACGAATTGGTGCAAAATTAAAAGATCTCTTAATAAACAAAAAAATACTTCATACCATACAACACGAATATATACAGGGTGGGGCAATAACTATGTCCACTTTGAATATTGCCTGTATTTGTAATAATATGAAAAAATGTTATATACAAAACTTACACGGTACAGAGGGGGGCATATTGTGACACAAACATTTTCTGCGTGGGTGAAGGTGTTATATCCTGTAGTTTCATAACCTCTTTCCGTTGCACATTTTTCTTATTACTTAATAACTTAATTCATTCCACATTTCATTTCTTTGAAACCACAACGAGAAATGTCGACAGTCAGCGCAACCACTGACCCACTCGCGATTAACGAGAACCATCAGATTGGAAATACTTAATCAACATTCCTCGTTGCATTATGCACTATTGACCAAATGAAATCCTTACGATTTCATACAGTCACCGGGCAATATAAACTCTCGGATAAAGGTCTTAGTATTAGTCAGTTGAGCCCAGGCAAGCAGTCAGTTCTCTTTTCGGCAGTCACCTTTGACGGTGCTTCGCCTCAACTTTACACGCGACGGCGAGCCGAGTGACAGCGGTCACTCAGCTGTTCAGTATCGGGTTTCGCGACGTTTCCTATCTTGTGCAACGCGACCTTGCGACTACGTGCGGCCTAACAGCCGAGTTTTATAAGACACCGGACCGCGAAGTGTAACGTCCAAGACGGTGATAACGTATCTCGCAGTGCCTAAACCCTGTTCAACGGCTCCGAGAGCCAGCAAGCCTTCCGCCTCTTCAAGGATCCTAAATTCCGACCGACTCCGCCGCAAGCGTAAAAACATTCATCTCTATCATCATTGGTATCTTTCTTGTTATCAAAACAAGAGTGATTTCCTATCCCTCCCGTTCACTATCCAAAATTGCGTACTTCATTGATAAGTTTAGACAGCGCGTGCTTTAGCACTTTAAAAAAGCTAGGACCCGTAATTATAAATAAAGTAACGACCGCAACGCGGGATGTAACAAATTGGTGTCAGAAGTGGGATTCTTTTGATCGAAATATCGAAGCAAAATTTCTTTGCTCTCATTATTTAATTCGATCACGGCTCGTAGCCTGCCTAAGCTTTCCGCTGACGCAGAACGTTTAGTATTTCACATAACAAAGGTGACTGCCGACTAACAAACCATTACCTGCCACAATGCTGTTGGGTCACTCAGCGCAACGCGAAACCAGTCGTCTCCTCACAACTCCTCCTCCCTTACCTACAACAGCACCGACCTTTGCTCAAACTCACGCTGGAAACATAAACGAACTCCAGATCACCTTTTTTCGCTCACGCATCGATGATCTTCATCATGTCTATCGCACGTTAGGTGCTATTCCGGTTTTCGACTCTAGATATGTTCCTAATGAACAATTTCTGCGAACAGTAAATAATCTATATCCACGAATTCCGAGCGAATACGAGGAACAATTTCTGACCGGATTAACTTGCAAATTGACTGATCGAGATCGTTATGGCATAAAAGAAGAAAAATGTAAAACCGTGAGCCAATTTCTTCGCATTTTGAGGGATCGATATTCGCCTTGTAGATCATCCAAGTAATCATGTATGACCTACGACGCGTATATATGTTCCCTAACGAACCACTGACTGATTACATAGACAGAGTCGTTAGGTTATGCGAAGGAGCTACCGCAAGTGCTAGGGACGAAGGGGAAAATTTGTATAGTAAAAGAGCAAAAGAATTAAACAGTACGGCCATAAGCTCGTTCATCGCAGGTTTACCTCCGCATTACGCACATCGAGTGTCATTCAACCAACCTAATACACTGAATCAGGCAATTAATAAAGCATTCAAAGCTGCAAAAGTATTTGGTACTTACAACCCTACGATGTAAACCGTAGATGGACGGAATGACGAGAACCCCGCGATGAACCAGATTACGAATTACCTCGTTCTACGTAGATAGCATACAATTCCTCACCTCCGGAGAAAATCGCGCAAGTACCACATTCCACACCTACCGTTGGGTGTCAATGCAAAGATAGGCATCGTCGTGATAAGCCTCGGTATAATATACGAGCAAAACGTAAATCTTCTTCTGACCGTCGCGAGTCTTTAAACTACAACCACGCCCTCTCTTAGGAGAGGAGCGAAGCGGGCGCGTCGGCCTCGTCAGCTCAGAGGAATCGGGTTTTCCAACCAAACAAGAAACCCCCTTTCTCGCATACGCACCGTGCCCCCGAATCCGGATCAAGGCTAACCAACTATAAGACGAGGAAGGTGAATATCTAGTGGACTCTGGCGCTGTATTAAATTTAATCACCATAGAAGCAATCCACCCTAATGCACCTATCGTCAACAAAGACGAAATTTCCGTAAAGAGCCTCAATGGATGGATTACCATCTTAGGAGCCACATACATGTATGAAAGTTAACGGAAGTTGGGCATTATTCTATGTAGTTGACACTCCGGATTTACCAAAAGGATTATGCGGTCTAATTGGCAATTCATACCTCCTCCAAGAAGAGGCCATCGTATCATATCATTATCGGACTCTAGTAACGACAAATCGTCCAATACACCCCATTTTATTTTCAAACTCAAAGGAACTGGAAAACGTACTAGCTTTACATCAACGTAATCAAGAAATTCTTCAAATTTATCTCGCGCAACATCCAGAACTGGATAGCGAAGAACCGGACCAACCTCTACAGCTCGACGATAGTTCCGAGAGCAATTTATCTCCTCCTTCTGAGGAAATACTCTTCGCGCATGAAGATGACGATTTAGGGGAATACGAAGTCTTGCCCACGTCGGTTACAGAACGACTAGCTACTATTCGAAAGACGTTGAAGCTCGAACAATTAACACTAAACGTACCAAGCGGGCTCAAATGACCCCTTTCAAAATTTACTTTAAAATCGTACATTCATTGTTATTTCTTTCGCTCATCTGACTTTCTGTAAATTCTTATATTATCTGATTATTCAATTTCTCGCTTTCCGTTTTTCTCTTAGCTTATATTTTACCGAGAAAAATTCTTTGCATACCTTATGTACCACGAGGGGTCATTTGACCCCTTACGAAATTTAAGTATTTTTTTGCAGTTGTCCAACTGAAACCTTAGTTCTGGACTCAGATACACTTCTGATGTTATAGTTTCATTTATCTGAATCTGATATGTGTGTTTGGTTTCGGCGTGACCACTTGAGCGACCCGATCGGGTCCATACGACGTAACGCATAAACAGAAAGGACTCTTATCAGAGATTTACAAGTGTACGGGATGGATACTCTATCAGGCAACAACTGGAATAAAGATACCAAGACAGCGTTTCCTGTTACAATTAGCAGATGAACTCGTCACAGAGTATCACGAATTTCTTGAAGAAAATGAAAACTTACAAGAAGGAACATCAAGCAGCCCAAGCAATAATTCCCAATTACGAAGAAAATGCCAAATAAGATTGTGAACGGATAATAAAACCCCTCAAACTTGCATAATTTGCAAAAAATTTATCTGCGGAAAATGCATGAAGGAGAAACCAGTCATATGTAAAAAGTGTAATTAATTGATTATTTTATTAATAAAAATAAAAATATATGTTTGATTATTTTATTAGAAATTAGAAGTTATGTTGCGAATTATTTCCTTTAATAAATTAAGAATTTCTTTCTAAAAATCAACGTTTATTTCATAAGGGGTCAAATGACCCCTTATGGTAAGAATAGGTATGTGTAAAGTACCGGTACGTTTAGTGTTAAGTGACAAATCACGCGCACTAGTCGAACGCTCCGTCCATAATTACGCAGATAGATTTTTCATTCCCGGCGACCATTGGCAAGAACTGACACGACGGCACACACCACCCTAACTACGGATGAGACTTCCGTCTTCACTAGACAG